GGCTTAACTCAATTAAGGATGTTAGGATTCAGTCTTCCATCAAGAGTCTACGAACTGAAAGTTTATATTGGGGTTTAGATTTTGCTACTGAGCTATAGGGGCGGAGGCTTTTGGGCTCCAGGTGTTAAAGCTTCATGGCCTCAATCTGGGGGCTCTGCATCTATATAGGGCTCATTTTGCGCTTACAGAGGCTTTGGAGGAGTAGGGTTCAACAGTAATTATATATTCGGGTTATGGTTATATATAATCCTAAACACAAAACTCTTTGCAAGGCTCTGGGTTCCAGGGCTGCAGACCTATTAAATGCTGAGCGATTTGCACTTGAGGGCACAGGCTTGACATGAGTCTTGCAAATGGGACCTCTAGCCGAAGCTTTTGGTTTTGGGCTTCAGAACTTGAGGAGTTCATCTGTTTGGGTTTACTGTTTTGGGCTCAAGGGCTTGCAGGGAAGCTTTCTTCAAGGATTATTGCAAATGGCAAGAAGCTACGTTTCAGCGGTTTGATTTATAATGCAATCCAGATGAGATCTGCATGGAGGTCATCGCTTCAAACAGTGCAGTACAATGCATCCATTCACAGATTAAATGTAGTACTGTTGCTTGTGGTCCCGGCTCCAACTTTGAAGGGTCTTGGGCTCAAGAAAACCGAAATCAGAACTCCCTGAATCTTAAGCAAGCACGGTTTTGTGTTTTGGCTTCGGTTTTGGGGTAGTTCCGGGTTTAGGTTACATATTTATAATATAACCATAGATTTCAAATTAGGGATTTCAAGTTAAGGAGGGGCTTTTTTAGGGATGTGGGAAATCCAAGCTGGTAGCCTTACTGTGGTCGTCCATGGTCCCTCAGTTAGGGTCTTTGCTGCTTCGAAGCAAAGCTTGTTTGTTATAGGCACTACTGCACCTATAAACTCTAAGATGAGTTTCAATCCCTCTAAATTAATTCCCCAAAACCAATTTTGCAACCCTCCGAGCCGATCCTTCGCCACGCGCTCCAAGCTCTGCAAAGCCACTGCTAATAAGCAGCTCTTTGGAACCATATTCTGGAGTAGAAGTAGGTAACTGTACACTGGCACTACAAACAGTGCATGCTAGAGGGGTATAGGTCCATATACATTGCTTTCTGAAGGAATATGGTGTACATATCGGGTTTAAAGGGTTGCATATTAGGGATCGACTATTGTAGAGCACTTAAGAGCTTACTAGCACTTGTCGGCCTCCAGAGCTTTCAGCAAGCTTTGCTTGGTAACTACGAGGAAACGAAGAAGACAATTGTTGGACATTGTCCTGTAATCCATCTTTCGTTTCATCTTCATAACGGATTTTATGTAGTCCTCGTCCATCCATGTCGTGTCCTGACTTGGATTCCTGCGCGACAATCGGGTACTGGCATCGTCGATGCTGTGATTGAGCATGTGCAGCTTTGGCCTGCATTTAAAGAGGTATTCGCGGTTGGCCTGTGCATCGTTAGCCAGCTTCATGAAGCTAGTAAGCCACAAATTTCCCACAACAAAAACTGTAGCGGCTTCATTTTCAGTCAGAAAGGGACCTCCATGCTGAAGACAACTCATGAAGGTATCAGCAGCCCATAGCATCACGACCAAGCCATTGTAGCAGGGCGGCGCTTTCTGCTGAACCGTCGCCACCAGGTACTTAAGGAACACCATAGCATCATGTCCAGACGAATGTAGTTCAGGGCACTCATCGGACTTCCAATTAATGGATTCCTTTTTCACACCAGTCATCGAGAGCTGCAGTCCGTTCGATTTTGCAAAGCTTCGAAGTTCGCGAGAAAGAGTACGGAAGCGCTTTGGTATGTTCGAGCCTTCGAAGTAATGTTTGTCACGCACCAAGATCTTTACAACGGATCCAACAACATCCCGCAGACACCCCAAATTCCAAGTGTGAAGCAAGTCTGTGGCCACCATCCTCATGGAAAACCCCGACAGCCTTGTCAAAGCCGGGGCAAAATGCCACGGATCCCTTGCACCGATCGTCGCTCTCCAGCCGGCAGAGCTAGAGATGTCTGTGTACACACAATTGAAGTTTGCAGAGCGACCCATTGAAGCCAAGCACACATGGCATACCTTTAGGGGATGCTTAGGGTTTAGGGTTTAGGGAGCATAATGGTACCTAGTGAGCCAGGTTGGTCGATTGGTTCTGATGAATTCCTCTGGGGTTTACATCTGTATGATATGGAGTGTTACTCTGATGTCATAGTTGTTTCTGGGCTAATAGTCAATAAAGTCAAGCTGTAGTTTGCCTCTTCAGCTGCAGGGTGGCGCACAAGGTTGAAGGCTTGCTTCAGGAACTTTAAGTCTCCCTTCACCGATACCACAGAGAAGTAGATAGTCTCAGTGGCCACAAAAAACCAACAATCCCGATCCCAGCTCTAGAGAAGCGTTTAAAGAAAAGCCGAAATCTGAAGAACATTCGTACAAATGTTGACACAAGGATCTCCGAACTTCTCGTCCGGCAGCCCCTCGTCTGCAAGCTTGTTGAAGTCAGTAACAATGGTGTCGTACAAGGCTTGAAGCGAGTGATTCACTTTGAACTCGTCCACATGGTATCGTTTCACAGGCAGGGAAAACATAATGTATCTCGATGCCTTGCCATTGCTGCGGTACTTGCAGAGGTCCGGTGTCCTAGGTCATTTGTGGGATGTAGTTCAACACCTTCAGAATTTAAGACCATAAATTTATCAGGATATGGGGGCCTTAGGAATAATTGGATTCGAGCTTAGCACATATACATGTCAAGACTCCAAGTGCTCACCATCCAGGATTTTTTTCGAACTTGGCCTTCATCCCCCCAAAGAAGCAGGGGAACAGTCTTGGACCAGTTTTGAGGCTTGGAATGCATAGGATGGTTTGGGAAGTCTTGTAGAATCGCAGCCCAGTAGGAGGCCAGCTCCTCGAACGGAGCCATTGTTTCACGAAAACCTTCACGCAACAAAGCTTTGGCCTCAGTCCAAAAGACCCAGAAAGGTTCTGGTACACTAGTGTTGGTTGTATCTTCTAAACTGAACTCATAAAGCCCTATTAACCTGACCAAAGAACCACTTGACTAGGAAGGAGAACAGGCCAACTTTCAACACAGACCTGCTCCTCCCCATCTTCCCCCACAGCCACCACAGGAATCTGTGTGTAAGAAACCTCCGCATCCAAGGCTGACCCAGCCGATGCCACGCGGTTGTGGAACTCGGTCTCTCGCAGAGGCCGTGTGTCGTATCCAGCCAGCAAGTGTGAGCCATATAGATTTCCTCAGAAATTTCGATTAAGGCCGTAGTTTTGCTAGTCGCATAGCATTCTGCCATCAAGTATTAGGTCGGTCTTGCGCAGAACTCAGATTTTCACTGCATGGGTTTCTAGCTGCTTGTTTACTTTCACAGCTGTATATATGTACATTTCAAGACTCTGTGCTGTAGTCAGTGGATACAACACTGCATAAATAGTAATGCCCAGGCTCCCAGATCACAAGCCAAAGTAACATCCAGCTGGCCTTCACATACGGCTCCAACGATCCTGAGCTAGATATCAGAGTTAAGGCATTTCAAAAGCAATAATATTATTGCTTTTAAAAGCAATAATATTATTGCTTTTGAAATGCCTTAACTCCAGAGCCTTAGCCTTAAGGAATCTACTATAGTTACTCTAGCTGCCCGCATGTAGAAGTCTTCAGTTCCTCTGGTGTGGGATTTATTTGCTGTAGACTGGTAGATATTGAATTCCTGGAAGCCCCACGTAATACCTGATCGGACCCAGTAGCTTCTTGTCCAAGGCAGTGTGGGGCCGCGCGGTTGAGCTCGAGGAAGCAGCCGCTGGACCTGCGGAGGGGGATGGGGCTAGCTAGATATATCAATTAAAATATAAGTTTTGGGTTGACATTATGTATCGTAGGGTGCTTGGCTTGTGGGATTGCTTCAGCTCGGAATCGCAGCAGCATCAGACCTTCCTGTGGGCTTTCAGAGGCACGTCTTTTTTGTCCACGTGCTAACCCGAGCGTCTATGCCACATACTGGGGGCCAGTATGTAGCTGCACTCCAGAAGCACATCATCCCCAATCTTATGTCCATCCCCACATGTGGGACTTCCCAAACATAGATGCCCTGGTCCACACCTTGAGTGGATTGGAGCAGCAGGCCCAGTGCAGACAAGAGCACCAGGATATTGTTCAAAAGGCGGTGCTGGTACTCCATAGCATCTAGTGTACTATCTCTATGTAGGAGCAACAATATGGCGTAGAGGTAGCTAGTGCTGATATACATGTCCAGGCTTTCCAGCACCTTAAGTGTAATTAGAAGAAATGTTCGCGACAGCTGGTACACCAGCTGCATGTTGCACAGCCAGTCACCTACTCTCGCTTTTTCAGCTCAGTGACCACAGCCTTCGCCTGGGCTTTCACCAGCTGATTCTCCACGACCTGCCCGATCTAGTTGCACAAACCCGGAAGCCATAACCACACTCGACATGAAACCCAACCAGCAGCCTCTTCGTGGATTGCCCTGCAAACAGGATCCATCGCCGCCGATGTCTTCTTGCCCTTGAACCTGCGGCATGAAATACAGAAGCTTGGTTAAGGCACTAGTCGACTGGGGTTAGCACATCATACATTAACTAAGTCTAGGACTCTTCGGCGTGCTGCATCAGCCGCTGCTGGTGGTCTGCAATCAGGCTTTTCAGCTCACACTCTTCAGGGAGGTCCATGAGCAGGCAAGTCAACTGGCCGATTTCCCGTCGCACTTCATTGCCTGCCAGTTACATGTATAATCATCATCACGATGGATAAGCCAAAATGTTTGCTATTCGGGCTTGTGCATAAATATTTCTTGGGTGTTAATTGGTAAAGGGTCTTAAGTATAGGCCTTTACGTGTGGGTGAATTGTAATTGGACTGAGTCTGAAGCCTTAGCAAATGCAGCCACAATACTCCAGCGGGTGTGTTTCTCAGCCTCGTTTTTGAAGCATTCCTCGATCAAGGGTCGCCTCTTGTTGCCACCGTTAGCATTACCACCACCCTTGTTGGTGCGACCACCTCTCGAGGACCCAGCTGCCGATGGAGCAGCACCTGGCGCAGCAGAACCTTGCCAGAGAGACGGTTGTAAAGTTTAGGCTTTGGGGTTTAGGGTTTGGGGGTTTAGGGTTTAGGGTTGAGGGTTTAGGGGTTTTGGGATTTTGGGGTTTAGGGAGGCCTGCAGAGACCGAAGCCGCAGCAGCCAAGTCATTGTTGTACTGATCGAAAGCCCGCAACACATCCATGTTGAGACCCGGTGCCGCAGCAGAAGCCTTGCCCCTGCCCATGAAGCCACTGTTGTGGGGGTCAGACCCCAGAATGCCATCAACCATCGCACCCGAAGCCTCGCAATTGACCTTCAAGCGTTGAGCCACTTCAACATCGACTTCGTCAGCGGACTCGACCATATGGGTAACCCAGAACCTGGTCTCAGCCAGGACCCCTGGTGCGTCGGGGTCAGTGATGCCACCACCACGTGCAATAATCGCTTCGATTTTCTGCCTCATTGCAACATGCTGGTCATGTCACTCAAGTTGAAAAGTCGCCTCTACATCTAGCAGAACATTTTGCATCTCATATATCAGCATGCGGGGCTTCGAAAATCGGTAGGGAGCTTCGGTCATGTCTTTGACCGGCACCAAGCGTTTCACCGTGCGTGCTCTGGATCTCGAGGTCCTGGAAGCTTCGAGGGAGGCCTCCGTGGCAGAGACATTGCCACCGGTCTGCACCCAGCGCTTCAGGAGTTCTTGGCGGTCCTCGAGCTATATATGTTGGTTTCATACATGCTACCTATCCCCCACACACGGTACCTGCATAATACATTGTGAGCCCTTTGCATTAATTGCACATGTCCTCGCACAAAGCATGCCCACATGCTTCTGCATACACACACACATACACACACACACACACACACTCGTAGACACATGCATGCACATACTTGTAAGATGCTATTCTATATGATTAGGGTTTAAGGTTTAGGGCCTATCTAGGTAATTTATACATATATATATACACATACATCTGTATATATCTGTATATACCTCTGATACCTCTGTATATATCTATATATATATATATATATGCATGTCTTGATCAATGTGTGGTCGTACACTATCCCTTGGAGAGACATGAAGCAATGCTTCTCAAATCGACGATAATGAAGAACCGAAGTAGGTGATCGATGGTTTGAGGCGACCTTGAAGGTCCTGTCTGCATAGTCCAGAACTACATAAGCGATCATATGATTGAGGTTGTTGTTTATAGTAACACACAGCTTATTACATGGTTATCGGTATAGAGGGAGCAGCTATAGCAAGCAAATATGATACAACGCACACAATGTGTTTCTTATTTTGGTTGCTCTATATATATAGCTAATGAATTCTAGTTAGGACAGTCCCTAGACTCAGAAGCTGTTGTAGTTTGAAGCTTGGCTGGTTGCACACCATGTAATGCAATGTAGACCCACCTCATAAATGTAAATAGCCCAATATTGAGTAGCTTAGAAATATTAAAAAGGGGATAGAGCTCGATCGGAGGGTTAGTGTGACATTCCTCAATCATTTATTTCAATTGTTTATTGTGTTACTAAGTCCAATAGCAGAACAAGATAGCTAAGGGCGACCGGCCTACTAGTTGTGCCAAACAAGACACAGCCACCGGCCCAGTAAACAACATTAAGCAACTATAGGTGGTAAAAAACGACCTGAAATTACTAGGGAAGCAGGCGAAACAAAGATCGAGAGCTATAGTCAGAATGGTTGAATGCCTGAATACAGTAGAATTGTATATACAAGGAATCAAGCCAGAAGGTCCCAAACTCTATGCATTTACAAAGACTGGCTAACTTGGATCCCCGGCCTTAAGCGTGCCCTCGGCCAGTGTTGTCATATTCGGACACTTCGTGGCAAGCGTCCCGCTCTTGATCAAACGGTCCTTGTCTATAGTGGTACAGCACACACACAGAATGAAACTAGGAGAAGACATGCACTGAATACTGCAGACTCAAGAAAAATATTAACTACAGCGAAAGACACCAGCACCATGTATTCACGCTTGTGGGTGCGGCTGTTCACCACATCCTCCGAGGGGGGGGGCATCGGCGAAGGCACCCTGCTCGGCTCCGGGCTCGATGTCAAAGTCTCGCATGCGGGTCCGAAGATGGGCACAGAGGACGGCTGGGCATTCTTCTCGCGCGGGGGGATCGTCGGGGCTGCTGTGGTGGCCTTCTTCTCCGTCTCCTCAGGCTTCCCAGCAGGTCTGCTGGCCACAGGCTTCTCCTTCTCAGCCTCCTCGTTCTCATCCTCACCCATGGATGCAGCCTCTTCCCCATCCACCAAATCATCAGCCGGCTCCTCATCATCGGAGCCTTCCCGAGCTTCACAATCATTGTCTTCGGCATGGGACCCGCCGATGGACTCACCGTCCACCTCCATGTCAGCATCCTCTTCAGCCGGGGCCAATGCAGCAACATCTGCACCCGAGGAGGCTTCTGCCTTGACAGCTGCAGGCATGGCAGGCACCGCCTGCCCGGTTGCTTTCAACTTGCCCTCAAGCTCAGACTGGTACAGCCTCATTTGCTCGATCATTTGCTGCAGCTTCAAGCATTCAGCCGACGAAGACGAGGAGCCAGTCTGGGACACAGAGCCCCCAAGCCTCAACACACATATTATGCAGTAGCATATGCACAGCGATGCATCAGAAACACTCTTCCTACAAACTATGACATCAAGTTGCCCCGCAAGAATTTGGGAAGCATTCTCCGGGACAATTGTCTCGGCAGCATCAATGGTCCCACGTTGCTTGCTCAGCTGCTGGTCGGCAACAAGCAAAGTACCACAGGACCTGAGCTAACATGACAGTTCAAAGGCCACACACTTGCAATAAAATGGTACCACCCCCCCTGGAGACAACAGTTTCTGAAACCACAATGCACCAATATCAAGCTACCACCCTCGACGAACCGCCGCAGGAGGGATGAACGCCCCCTCCTCATCCTCGGGCTTCAGGCTCTCATTGAAGTCGGACGTGGCACGGCCACGCCTCAACCTGGGCTCCGCTTCCTGGCTAGCGTCCAGAGAGGGTTCGGGAACGGTCTCCGCCATAGTGTCCTCTACCACAGGCTTATTCGACACCTTGTACTTGTCCCAGAATGCCACAAGCTTGGGGCTAGGCTCAGCAATCTCATCTGCTGCGGAAGAGGAAGTTTTGACAGCAGCTGACACAACACAGGGAGACGCAAGCTTGATCGCACCTGGGGTGTCCTTGCAGGCCTTGCTTGTGGTGTCCTTCGCCTTGCTTGTGGTGTCCTTGGTCTTGCTGGTGGTGTCCTTCGTGTCCCCGGCCTTGCTTGCAGTGTCCTTGGCCTTGCTTGCGGTGTCCTTGGCCTTGCTGGTGGTGTCCTTGTCGTTGCTTGTGGTGTCCTTGTCCTTGCTTGTGGTGTCCTTGCCCTTGCTTGCGGTGTCCTTGTCCACACGTGTGCTAGGTTTGGCTTTGCTTGGAAGGGCCTTGTGCTTCACAGCTTTCTCAGCTTCAGCCTTTCTGGCCTTACTCCCTGAACTGCCGCCGGCACCGACAACATCCCCATCATCAGCTTCGGCTACCACAGGCACACGAGTTCGCTTGCTCGGCTTGGTAGGCTCGGGCTCGGGATCACCACGCTCCTCCCAATGGGCTGCATGGAAGGCATCCGTTTCCTCCCGAAGGCGCATTGCAACACCGACAGCTTCCTTGAAGGAAATTCCTTCATCTTGCATGAGCTGTCCGATGGTGACATCGCCACCTTTCATCAAAGGTGTTTCCATTCGGAAGCACGAACTGGCCTTTGTGGAGGCCTCCGACATGGAACCGTCAGCATCATGCTTCTTAGCATCCACATCCTCGCTGGATGTCTTGGCAATCTTGCCAGCCCTGGCAGGTTGCTCGCAAGCACCCTTCGTCCTAGCCATCGTTCCCTGTTCACTCTGCTAAGCTGCCAGCAGAAAACAACTAGGAACCTAGCTTGGCAAGACAGGCTGTCAGGTCCTTGAGTATGAAACAATGAAGCACCAGGTGTCTCTCATGAGTCTCGTGTCTCGGAAAGTCACAAGAGCAGCAGAACATGTCGCACAGCTTGGAAGTTTTAACCGTCATTGGAATGTAGTAGCTCGTCTTCGCCTATAATCCATTGAGGTTGCTTTGGTAAAGTCTTTGCTGGGTACCAACTATTAGCTAGGCTTGTGTCGTTAATCTTGAGTATTGACATGGCAAGTCAATGCACCAAACACACGTAGACCAACATGTGTGTTTGTGGTGTTAAGTGTCAGTATACATAGGCTGAACATAGCTTGCGTGAGTCTAGCGGTTGCCTAGGCGTCAGTACGTTACACAGTATAAGAACACTTAATGACAAGAATCTTCGACTAAAACACAAACAACAGAACGATCTCTATACTTGCTCTGGGGATACAAGAACCTGCCTAAGTATAGGTTTCAGAACTAGATGTCAGTGCAGTTGAGAGTAACTTGAAAAGTGCCCTTCTTTGTACATATCTACTCTAGTAGCAGTTTTTGCCTTTCCATAGGGAAAAGTAGCTAAATATCATATATTGCTGTCCTCATAGTTAGAAAACTAGATTCACGCGGATCCCGCTGGATCCTGGTCATTTCACGCCGGATCCTGGCCTTTTCACGCGGCCACGTCCGAAAGGCACAATAACGAATTAAGCTAGTCTGAAGCCAGCAGACAGCTAAAACTGTGCTTAGTCATATTGAGCCTTATTACAGCCTAAAAAGCAACAGAACTACTTTTGCTGCTGGAAAACCCGCTAGCCCCTGTCTAGCCTGCAAACTGTATAAAGCCGCCGCTTCTACAGTGGACTCACGAAAGCGATCGAGATCGCTTAGCAAGCTGGAGTGGCGCATCATTGGCCCAGGCTCTCTTCAACGGGGACAATCGCTCTGGACAAGCCGACCAGAAGAACCTGGGCCATGGCGGGAAGAAGGAGGTTTAGGGACACTTAGGGCTGATATAGGGCCAGCTGAGGAACTCAAGTACAGAGGTCTAGAGGATGTTAACTATAACTAATGGTTTAGAGTACCAAAGGTTTCAGATTGTTGTTGGCAGAGTTACCCATCTTACGTGGTGGCAGCAAACATTCGGGCTCAGGCCATGAATTAAGAGATCAAGTGCACTAGTTTGTTCTGTGACTGTCAACTATCTAAATCTACAGCAGTCCGATATTGATAAATATGTTTGTGGCAGGATTGCTCTTCTGGGCTGTCATTAGGACAGTTCTTCTCGCATCGGTTCTAAGCACAGTTGGCTCTCATGTAATTTTAAGAGGATATCCTTGAATATTTGTTGGTTCCAAACCCTGTTCTCTAGACATACACCAAAGTATGTTTCATATATATATATATATATATAGATATACATATAAAGGCTCTCTTACTTTAGAACCCAAACCTACAATTAAAACCCAAAGGCCCTTGAACATCGAACGTAGGACTTCGTCCGATTTGTTCAAGTGTTCGCACTTGGCGAGCATGAAGCGAGAGATTCTGGGGTTTAGGGGTTTAGATGACTAAGGTTCACGAGTTTAGGGTGTTAAGGGTTTCGAGGCTTGGAGCATCAGGTTTCCAGGTTGTGCGATGGGGCTTTAGGAGTTCATGGTTTAGGGCTTAAGTCTTTCGGAAGCCAAAGAAGACAGAACATGATCAGAAACATGACACGGAACTAAGGTTCAGGATTGGATCATTATGATGCATTGGAGCAGCACACCGGCAATATGTGGTATGTTTCGGGCCTTGGCTTGCACTAGACCTGAAGCTGGGCACATCCAGATGTTCGGGTTTGGGTGTCTTATTGCAGCCTCGATATGCTAGTGTGATGCAAAAATGTTGGGCTTGAGTTGGGTTCTCGGACATCGGTCACAATAGAATTTGTTAATTAGGGTTATAATGGGGCAATGGGTCTTAAGGCTTAGTGTGATTCGCCCCCCAAAAAAGTTTAACTAACACAAGTAATGCACATTTAAGAATACCCAAGCACCCCTGAGAGCCTCTCAGAAATTGTCGAAACCTCCCATACGGTTTTACCTAGTCCCAAACACAGGTAGAAGTTCGGGGCACTGTCAGTTACAGAACCAGGGACCCAGCAGACACATGCAAATAGTACTCTGCAGCCACTATGCTATAACCCTCCTGTACAGAGAGTTAACTGATTAGCCGTACTTGTTCAAAGCAGACTATGTGGTACTGAAATCCTTTGAGCCCTGGCCCTAGCCCTGAAGTAGGATTCCGAAGTTGCCTGACACATCCAGCCCTTAAAAGATGTTCCGTGAAGTCCAGTGCCACAGAGCCGGCTGCAAGTTGCACGGCGGGATAAGGCTTTAGGGTTCGGCTTCCAGTCTTTAGGGTTGCTTTCGGCTGGGTATTCAGCTAGAGAAGGACTTGGGGTCACCAGTGTGGATGAGATATTCTAGTTGGGAGCAGAGGGGGGGGTGGGTGTTTGGGACTTATGGGCTCGGCTTGTACCTTTAATGAAGGATTTGCTGGGTTCAAAGCATGTGTTTAAGAAGCACCGATGATTCGTGGCCTTTGCATAGAGACTTGGGGGCTTGAGGTCTTGGGATGTGTTGGGTTGTATTGGGCAGCAGTGAACCCCCAACCTAGCAATCATTCTTAAGTCATTCCCATAACCAAAATTAACGAGCTTTATAAAAGATATTGGCTAGGTCGTGTGGTCACTTACTTACTTATGGGGCAGTAGAATGCCTAATGGGTCTGCATATACAAGTCTTATGTAAATGTTAAAGCCACTGGTTGCTGGGAACGAGGCTTTGAAGAGCCCCTTACATGTTTGTTTGGAGTTGCACTGTCAATTTCGGAATTTCCTAAGCCCATAGTATGAATTAAGCGTCTATGTGTATAAGTACAGAGGTATCTTGGCGTACATTCCAGTGTCAGCCGAAGAAATCAAAACTTTAGGTTCCTTAAATTCTGCCCCTAGCCCCGAACCAGACAACTCTAAACCGATCCACCCAAAAGAGTCTTGATGTTACATCGGGAAGCCCTGGTATGTCTAGTGTGTATGCAAGGTGTATTTGTGCATTCCAAAAGTTTCATGAAAACCTGGCAACAAAGCTCTAATGAATTGAAGTCATGTACACCACCCACCCTATCACCCTGGCCCATAATACCTCAACTTAATTCAGTGCATAGCACAATTAATCACAAGAACCCTTTCCCAGAAAGGTACCGGGTGTGTGAAGCACACTTTATAAAAAGTCCTCAGAAACTTTCTACCTGTAGCCTCTCAACTAGAGAAAGGAGCAATATCTTTTCAACCTGCAAACCTAAAGCCCTAAACCCTTCAAGCTCTAAACCAAGCCAGCCAACCAAACACATGGTATTGTCGCTTTGGAAACAGAGCGATCCGACCAAGCAGCTGTCGAAGTCGATCCACGATGTTGTCCTGAATGAAACACATTCAGCCCAGGCTGTTCATACTACTGGCATGGTGGATCTCATCAAGTCGCTGCGATCACTGTGTGGTGCCACATCGCTTCAACATGCAGTCGAGGACAGCGCGCTTCTAGCTACATAAGTGCCCCTGATCACTACCCTCAAATACCCTATAAGCCCATGTAGTTCCATCAATGACAAGAATTAATTAATGGCGACCTGGAACTAGTTGGAGTTCATACCACAATTGGAACCATTGCAGTCGAGTATCCCACTGGCCCGGAGCTTTAAGATTTCTGCAGAAGACAAGGTAGCAGAGGAGCGATTGTAGCTGTGCCTGTCAACAATGCATCGGACAATCGGGGCTATGGGGCTTACGAGGTTTGCAGAGTACACTGAAGAGTATAGGATGGCATGAAGATGGGCATAGCGGTGCATGCTGGGCTTGACACCACCGACATCACTGGGCTTGACAACACCGACATCACTGCAACAAACATTTCCGCTTAGGCACCTCCTTAGCCAAATCACCGAAGCTTTCGTTCTGTAGGTTGTCAGGAAGAAGGCTCTTCACAAGCTCATAGTCGCTTTTCTTCCAATCCACCTCAGAAGCCACTTTGGGGCCGGGGAGCAATGCCTCAGTTGTCACTTTTGAAACTGTCCATGATAGCAGCCAGCAGCTAGAGCATCAGAACTCACACAGCTGGCTTTGTATGCAGAAGTCAAGTTGCCGCATCACCACTCTGCCGAAACAGTTCAGCAATTTTCTCACCAAACTTTGCAGGGTACTTCCTGAGATTGTGTGTTGCTACTAAGCGACCGAAATCAAACACCTACACACACACACACACGCACAGAAACTGTGTCAAGCATAGAATTTCTACAGCTAAGGCACCCAGAATCCGGAAGCAACCGCGACTTGCCCGTGTACCGAATCTTGCCGACTTTCGGATCGTAGTAATGGTGCGCAAGCTTCGAAAGTTTTAATGCATTGCGATCGGCCACAGATAGGAAGCCACCGTGACGAACAATTCCTTCGATGAAACCCTCATCATTGCTCCAGGCCACATGCCTTTTGGCGCAACCCTGGCCATAGTTCGCCATGTACCAGAAGCCCTTGAATACCTAGGCAGGCAGAGCTAGCATGTCTAGAAACATCACATTGCAAATCTGTAGCCACTTGTCTGCATTATACAAGGCATGCAAGTTGCCCTGACTCGGTCCACAAGCCAGTGAAAAACTGGCATGTCCTCTAGACAGGAACCCGATGGTTGCTCCAGCAGCCAGCGACAGCCCTTCATTGACACCACCAGTAACAGGAGCATAACTCTCGCCAAAAGCAAATTGCCGTCCGAGACGAATTTATACCCAGTGTTACCCATGGGGGTGATGGCGGTTCGTCCTGACGTGGCCCGGGACCTGTGCAGAAATGATCATGAATGCTGTGCTATGCAAGAAGCATACACGGAACAGTTCCACAGTTGCAAACTAGCGACATTCCAGAGAAGCTGTTGCAGCAGAGGCCAACGATGCACACACCACCACGCTTTAGCCGACGAACTTCATTCAGAGCAGCTGCAAAACCACCATCAGTGGTCATATCAAGCGCAATAGGGTTGTCGCGCAAGTCCAAAGCCACCCCGAAATTACCATCCTCGACACACGGGGGATCGAATATAGCACAAAAGCTACACCGACAGCATGTCAAGTATTTACGCATGCAGGCGAGGCTCGTCACGCAAAGCTCCTGTGACATGTCCCATGCCAGCGAACAACTCAACGAAGTCATTGTCCTGCAGGATACTGTATAATGGATTCAGTGGCCACAGCATCGACAAACACATCAAGAACAACATGATGAATCTACACCGGTGTGCTTTTTCATTTCTAGAGAATTCTGCATTTCAAGCCTACCACACAAAAAAATCTCAGCCCTCCCCAGCCTCCCTTTGGTGAATGTCTGCATTGAAGGCCAACAGAAGATTGGCCAAGCAGAGCCCCAGAGGTGCTCCCCATTGCAAAAGCTCTGCCACCACCATCTTCACAAACAAAAAACTAGAGTGCACAAAGCCTGAGACCAGTGTCGGCCACATGCAACACCATGCGTTTCAAGTCGGACACACATCAGCATGGACGGCTTCACACACCTCACCAGCAGGATTGCAAAAGGGAAACCCGCTCGATCGATTTAATGCTCGGCAGACATGCGAAGTTGCACGTATGTAGCACACATGCGCAATCAGCTTGATGGCCCCAAGCCGCTGTACAACAAATTAAGAGAGAGCTTGGTGTCATATGGGACATGCCACACTCATACATCCGGCAATCGGCCGGACTGTCCGTCACAGAACATAACCACGTGCCCTTTAGCCAGGCACATGTAAACCTTCTCGAGCACACATCATCAGTCGAACCTTCGGCGACTGAGCTCACTCGGGGAAAGGTTTTGTAGCAGCTGGGCCCTTTCGTCACTGAAGTTCCAAGCCTGAAGGGCTTCCCAATAGGTCAGGTATCCTGACTTGGTGCAGTCCTGTACATAGGCTTTCTTCCTCTTGCGAAACTCCCCGGGCACATAATTGCAATCAGCATGGGGGGCATCAACCTCGATCCTGACCTTTGCAGCTGGAGCATCCTGGCCTGCCGCCCTTGCCTTTGCCTTTGCCTTTGCCTTTGCCTTTCCTTTGGCCTTGGGTGTTTTTGCCTCAGGCTTCTCATCCTGAATCGGCTCACACTCTTCCGGATCCGCATCTTCACAGTCGCTCACGTACTCTCCCTTCCACCTTGAATATGTGGAGTTCACAGCCCAAATAAGCAGATTAGAGAACTGTAGCCCTATACCCTAAGCCCCAAACCAAGCCAAAGACTACAGCCTCACTATGTGAACTAATTTGGGCTTCACATCTGTTTGTTTAAAGCCCTGTTCTGTACCCTTTGCAAATCCAAGCGGCTGCGAACTCGGCAGGAATGGCGTGGGGGCCAAGTCCTTCGACATGGCCTGGATGTTGCTGAGCACCTTGGATGTCATTTGCAGTTAGCTGCAAGCCAGATTGAGCTTTCATTGAAGATCAAAATGCAGTAAGTGTCATATCACAAAAGTCACTAGCAGATACGAGCAATCCTTGCACAACAAAGCACCGCTGGTGGCACCACAAAGGTGTTTTGCATCTGCTCCGGGAGCTTCTTCAATTTCTGCTGCTTCAATCGTAAGAAGATTGCATTAAGCTTCTCAGTCTTTGCAGTCCCGACAGCACTGTCCCCGGAACTGACAGCAGTTGAAACCTCCGAAGTAGCCCCATCGTCCAAAACCATGGTCTTGGATGCAACTGAGGTGGGTGAAGCCAATGAGAGCTTGCGGTACTTCTGCACGAGGCTCCTGGGCTGTGGACTCTAGAGCTTGCCGATAGGGCCGATAGGAGTAGCCACATATTGATATATGCAACAAGGCTCTCAACACGAGAGCTTGTAGAAGTAGCCGCTGTGGTAGCCGAGCTCGGGGAACTGACAGCCTTACTGTTTCTTCGTGTCGGATCCTAATGTCTATCATGCACATAAGCTTCAATGTGTGCTGGCAGGAAGCTGATCTCACATCAGCTTCACACTCACCCAAAGCCTCGAGGGCCTCGACCTCCCCATCGGACCCTTCATCCGTAGCATCCCCATCATCGCTGCTTTCATCTCCAGACCCAGCATCCTGCATGCAGTTGGAAAGCAAACCTCAAAGCCAGAAGTGCTAATGTGTCTTAATATTGGGATGACAGCAATTGCCAATCCTGCTTGGGGAGGTAGTCAATCAACTCATCCTTAAGTTCCTTAATCGCCTTGTTGCGGGAACTCCTTGCACGCTGCGAGAGGCGCTTGAACTTGGTCGCCTCAGCTGCGATATGAGTGAGCCAGACGTGACATGTACAATTCATAGCCAGTATAGGCCAAAAGGTTTCCAAACCCTGGATGTGGACCCTTAATCAGAGTATCTGTGCAATCCAGCTTCCAGTTTCCTCACTGCATTGCCAACCTTCAAAGACCAGTCTTGTACAGAGGGAGCATTGACACTTATTCCCCGTGGCGTAAGCTTCTTCGTGAAGTACCACAAGCGCACTGCATCTGCAATCAGATGCGCACTGTACCTTTTGCGGCCCTTGCGGCTTCCACGAAGCACAGCAGCTATCACCTGCATGCTGTGCAAAAGTCTTCGCGATGCCCGCGAGTGCTAGCCAATCGGGGTTTTAAGTATTGGGTCTACGACTTTAAACAGCACAGTTTTAGATATTCTTAACCCAAAATTTAGCTTCAGGTTGGTTGATCGCTAGGGTATGTTCGGGTCTTAGATAGGGCATTAGTTTTCTGTTTGTTTTATTCAGTCCGGCCAGGCACATATCAGCCAGGGTAGAAGTCAGGTGTTGTGAAAAGAAATTCTACTTGGTAATCTCTGGTTTGGTGTAGTAGATGGCACAATATTGTCAGTTGTTTGCACATGCAGCTTCTGCAGGGGTCATCTCCGACCAGCCCAATTTAGACTTTAGGAGCCATGTGCCCGCAGATCCAAGCTTGAAGGTGATTATGATTATAGCTATAGCTTCGACTTTGACATAGATTGCCAATGCCTTAGAAACCCAAAACTATACTAAATAAGGTAGGCCCCAATGCCCTGAATCACAATCCATCCAAATCCTGAGTGCTAGTGCAATCATCAGTGCAATCACTTCTAAGGGAGGCTCCTATGCCTAGATATATATATATATACACACATACACATCTATATATAGAAGCACAAAGGAAAAAGGGGAGTGTGTGATAACTCGTCGGGCGCCACTACAATTCTTCATTGTCTTTATCTATACATATATATATATACTTTGCTTATATTTATATTTGTATGTATATTTGTATTTGGCCCAAGTGCCCGCAAACAGTTTCGTTCGAAGCCCACTCTATCTGCACTCTGTATGCATCCAGCACTTTGTCATCCTAAGCCCTAAGCCCTTAATTTAATCGAGAAACCTACCCTGAATAAGCTTTCTCATGGTTGTCTGAATTCTAAGGGGGACAACACCCCAGATTACCTTTCATGACCAAGTGTCTCAGACCTTACACAGTTGGTTTCACACAGCCCCAATTATTGATTGAAGATTTTTGGGTGTAGGCCTATAGAGTGGGTTTATATGTTTGTGTATTCTACTCTTAACTACATTTAAGTATGCAACCATATATATTATTAGGGTTATCTGTCTATACCTTTGCATATGCTTATGTGTGTAATACATATATATATATATATAAATAAATATATATATATATATATACATGTATATGTATATATATATAGAGATATATTACATGAGGTTGTACTGGCTTGGGGCTTGGGCAACTAGGGTCTTAGACCTTACAAGTTGGATCCGGAGATCGGTGCTCATTGTGATGGCCTTTTTGGTTCCCTCCCTCTCTCTCTAGATGTCTGTATATACATCTCTCTCTCTCTCTCTCACTGAGCAGAAACATCTTTCCACAGCTCTATATACCTCCTCTCTCTCACTATCTCTCTCTCTCTCTCTCTCTGTCCTCCTGACCAGCTTCGCAAGGCTTCCATAATTCAAATCTAGGCCAGTTAACGGCTACCACCATCAATCATTCTCTATGACCATCAACGCAGACCTCATACATTTCACCCCAGCAATCACCGCCCCCTCACTCTCTCCACTCCCTCCCTTCTTCCTTCACGGTGTCTCGTTCTCTATCGCCCTGTTTCTCACATCTCGACCTTAGTTTACTGAATTTCGTAAGCAAGCTGCCCTCGGGTTCAGCTCCACATCCTTGCGCGAGACCTGCCGCTTCTCCTTTAAGAGCTGCCCAGTTCGATCCACGAGCAGGTTGAAGCCGACCTAAGCCGACCCAACCGCACTCATGAATTCTCCATATGCATACATACCAAACTAACAACACAGACACCTGGACACGGGAACTCCTGTAGCATACTATAGTGCACAGTAAGGCATGCACACACAACATGCCCATGAACTCCGAAAGATGCAAACAACTATCTGCAATAAAGCGGCACCCTGAAGCGAATCTTCCTTCTCAAGCTCACTGGCCAACCATTCAGCCTCCTCGGAGACTTCTGGCCGGGTCGGGGCCTTCTCGGTCGATTCCTTCTTCATGCTGCGTATGCAGGCACAGCAGACACAGAGCTGTGTGCTCGAAAAGTTGCTCGACCCAAAGGATGTGCGGTATGGTGTCACTCCAGCCGCTTCTAATGCACACAGAACAAGCAAAGAGTTCCAAAGCATCTGATCTGCAAGATCACTCAAATATCAACTGATTCTGCATACTGATCTAGGCAGCCGCACACACTGAATTCCCCGGTGCAGGCAGGTCGGCACAGAGGGCACACCTGATCCAGAAGATCTGAAGACATTCTTGAGCTTGCTCTTGTAGTCAGCCTGCATCATTCAGAGACCCCTCATCTTTGGAAGATAGAGCTTGCAGAGGTTTATTCACATGCATGCATGTCTCATTCAATGGATTTTGCTCCTATATCTCGGAAGGGAGATGAACACCGACACATCCATACTAGTATTACACACACACATACATGCAGCTGCCCGAATCAATTTGCAGGCCTGAGGCATCGGATATCAAAGACAGCAAAGCGCACATGGCTCGCTTCATGATGCGCATGCAGCCCCTATTGTAGGAGCTAGCTCAGGACCTCAGAAGTCCATACCGAGTATCACACACAAGCGATATCTCACTGATCTGGAAACATCGAAAACCAAACCTTTAAAGATTTAAACTCTATACATGACTGAATCAACTTCAAACTCCATATATAACAAATGATTTTCTGATTGCTGCTGCCCACGTACGATACTAAATCGTCTTGGACTATAATTATGCAACCCCTACCGGCTGAGTTCGCAAAACAAGTCTCATGAGGTATATGCAAGAACCTCCAACAATTGGATGCGACAGCAGCGTCAATGCATGATCGCGGCAATCGTCTGAAACCCACAGCCTCTCACAGACGACTTGCTGAGGAAAGACTGTCTGCCAACGATTTGAACTTCAATCCAACGGTTCTATGCTGCTTCATCGAGGTTCAGACATGTCTGAAGCTAGGCCTGGCCCGGTACGTCGGAATATGTGATAAAGCTAACCCTAGCTGTTTAACTATTATATCGTGTGTAGTCTACATATATAGCACACCTCCGACAATCCTGTTGACAGGCGTTGGGAAACTTGATGTCATCATGAGCATCATATTGGCACAAACCCACCATTATCATGCAAGAACTCGATTTTTGTTGTAAACACACATTTATCAGATCCCATCACATACCAGAAAACCAAAAGAACAGCATTTTCAAGGCTATTTGAAATGATCCTCTTTTTTCGGGCTTTTCATTTTGATGCATAGCCCTCTTCTTTCAAGGCCATCTAGTCCCCAAGGTTGGAAGTCAGCACGTGTTCATTGCGTACTTGTACGGGTTGAAGGCCGTGAGCCATGAACTTAAAGGGGAGAAAGCCCCGGCCTAGGGTGCCCAAACTTTCGAGCCTCAATTTGCAGACAGTGCTCCGAACCGCAGATGTAGTATCGCCCCAGACGCCGTGCAAAGTCCTTCCTGACAGGCTTGAAGGAATTTGGGGCTCAGGCCTTAGATCTTTTTAGGCTTTCGGGTTTTTGCAGGCTTCAGGATTTAGGGTTGAAGCACAAAAGAAACCAATTAACGGTTGACGGTTGAGGCAAGATTTCGGTTGGCTCGTTTTGGAAAGCTTTGGGAATGCAAGCATAAGCCTTTAGTTTGGCCATCTAACTTCAATGTCCAAGCAATGCAAAATGAAATTCTCGTTGACGCTTCAATAATTCCGGATTCAAGAACGATCGTAAAAACGGCTGCCAGGTGTCAAGATAAAGATGTTGTCGCTGAAGACAATGATCTTGTCTCCACGCTGCTCATGGAATCGAATCAGGTACCTCGGGCGAGGGCCTTAAACCCTAAACCCTAAACCCTAAACCCAGGGCTACCAAAACTCTCGAGCCCCCGAAACCACGCACCTGAAGGCCAAGATGCCCCCAGCCCCAAGAATGAGAGCCCCACACCAGAAGCACTAGTTAACTTACTTTTCCCATAAGCCGGGGAAATAAAAGGTGAAAGTGTCAGATCACTACTATAAATTATTATAAGAACCCAAAAAGTTTAAAGGTTGGGTATTGGGGAACTAAGTTAAGCTCGAAGTCCAGGTACCTTGAGGGAGGCCAGGCAACTAACTACGGGGTCGACACCTCTACACATTGACATGCGGAACACTGCACCGAGTAAAAGGATGCAAAGTTGCAGCTTACAGCGAACGCAAACATTTCTGCCGATCCGAGATTGCATGCTTTCCGTCCTGAAGTAGCACGACCACTTGCACATCCCTAAACCCTAAACCCTAATCATCACGGTTCTTCTGCATTGAGGGTCTAAGCCTCTCCGACACGAAAGCTACTTGTTGCCGGTGCCAGCACCCAGAGAACCCAGACCCCTTAATTAAGGAATATATATATATATATATATATACCTTAGATCATAATATTAAGGCCATAAAATGGAGGTAGATACCTTAATTAAGCGGTAATTGTTGGGTTCTCTGGGTACTTGCTTGTGGGCAGTTGTCTAAAATATATAGGGTCCCCTTCAGGGTCCCGTTTATAAGGGTGCCGTACTATACTTATACTGGGTACCGAAAAAGGGACCCTAAAATCAGAGAACGACCCTTACGCCTTCAACCGTGTAGCCCTGAACCCTCAACTGAGCCCGGCACTCGCACGTCTTCAGCTTATGAGGGTTGCAGGTCCACAGTGCTCTCTGCAGTGTGGCGCGCATGGAACCTCTGACGGATCTTGGAACAAACCAGGGCTCCTGCTGCCTTAATATCTGGGTTTGTGGGGCACGTGCTATACGTAGCTTTAAGCGCTCTGTATGTATGTATGTATGTATGTATGTATGTATGTATGTATGTGTGCGTATGTAGGTAGCATGTGTATACATGTGCATTCATACACACACATCTATATATATATATATGTAATTACGTGTGTATCCATCTATCTGTCTCTCTCTCTCTCTCTATGTCTACCTGGAGGTGTGCCTGTGTGTGGGCGCTTGCATATAAACATCTTATACAGATACAGGTACGGTCTCACTGGGCCATTCATTAGTTTGCTCATTACACTCTATGTGTTGCGAGGTTGTATGGTTGCCGTTCTTCGGAACCCTGCCACTTGGAACCCTGCACTTTGTACATGCTTTAAACCTTCTTGAGTTTCTGCTTTCCTTCCTTGAGCACTGAGCGATCTCATGGAAGCCTGTTCTCTGCCCCTTCTCTTCCTCCCTCTTTCTCGTCTCTGTTCTTCTTGGTCTTCTCGCTGGGCCCTTCGAGGTAAATGGTTGCCACTGTGAGTCTGCAGGGCTACATTTGCGACACCAGTGGCTCTCAGATCAGGCACGCAATGCATGATGTTCGCCTATAAGGCTCCCTCTTGTAACATGTAGCCCCATCTAATCTTCAAGATGAACCCAAACCAAACAAAGCCTCTGACAGTTCTGATGGTTCCCGTGCAATAAAAAGTAAGCCTGCCTGGCACATCTGGGCTGTCTGCAGCTTGCAAGTACCTGAGGGTTCGATGATGGAGGAAACGAGGGCCCTAGGGCCCTAGGGTTGTAGGGTATAGGTATTTAGGGCTTTAAACTTTGGGGTTTAAGGATTTATAGTTTGGGGGTTTCGGGGTTGGGAGATACCGAGATGAGGCATATGCCTGGCATAATGCCAAGCCGCTACAGCCACAGAGCATGCAAGTAACCCCTTCCTCCTATCATCAAAAGTCGCAAGCTATTGGCTACGCTTGCAATAGACAGTGACTCGTTCTCAACATTCGGCAGCATGCAGGCAGCACTTTAAGCTTCCAGGTTCAAGGCCGGATGTCAAGTCTTTCATCGAACCTTCTGGAGTAGGCGAGTGGCCGGAATGTAAAGGTGTTTAGTCTGATAGTGAGGCCTTTCGTACAAACCGACCAAACTCTCAAACGAACTCCTTAACCCCGAAGCCGAAACGTTGGTCTCTGTACGTCCTACGACCTGCTTGAGTGACCTGCGTCATGAAGTCTAAGCAGATATCGATGCCTCGGGAAAACGAGAACTGTGTACGAACATGCCCCCGCTCACCGTGATCACCATGAGGGAACTTCTTCTCTAAGGTCTATTATTGGCTGTTGGAATCACCTGTAGCTTAAAAAAACATCGCACCTCTTGATTGGCAAGCTGCTCAGTGAAGAATTCCGTGGACATGTCGCACCAGACTTCGATGCAGCGGACCCGGGCCAAGTACCCTTCGTCCTGGCAATATGGGTAAAGTCATGGTCCCTGTGGGAAACCCTACATAATTCATCATAATTCTACTCTTCATGCAGGCCATAAACCTGAATTAACAAGTCCCTGGTCAATCCTCCCTCCCTTAGCTGAAGTTCATGGGCACATCTGGTAAGCTTAGCAGTTGTGGAAATATTGTTTCAGCCAGTATGGGCAACCTTGCCTAGAACTACCTATAAGCCTTCAAGTGAGTCCTGAAACGTGGTTACCCTGAACCCGCAAACACGCCTAGAACCTGAATCCTAAACTGCTCTATCAAGAACCGCGAACCCTCAACTCTCCCCAGCTCAAACCACAACAAACACTTCAAGCTACCACAACCGAGACTTGTTCAGCACCCTACATTGTTTCAATTTAACTTTCATTAGACGCCAAAGAAATAGAATACACAGCAGCCTAAGACCCAGAATACTACATGAGCCCTAAAACACCCCATCTCCTACATAACCCTACCAGAACCCGAACAATGCTTTCAACACAACATTGCCTAAGCCCACCCTAACTCCTTTCCCCTAAATCCCTCGACCACTGGTATAGGGCATAGCCAGCCCACCCTTGGATCCTCTACCTTAAGTCCTTCAATTTACCAAGAGAGCCCCAAACCTTCAACCCTAAGCCCTAACCCTAAACCCTGAACTCTAAACCCTAAACCGCTAACCACCCAAACCCCTAAACCCCCAAACCCTCAACCCCAAACTGTCAACCCTTAACCCTAAACAACCGACCCAGGGCCTGCAACTGTTGCCAGTTGGCTTCGTACAGCTTCGGTCCAATGAGCCTCGGCTGAGGGTTCAGGGCACACAGTCTGTATTTCATTTCTACATCTGTATATATATATATATATATGTATGTGTATGTGTACATATACACAGATATGCTTTTACTACTCAGCATCGGCAAATGGACGATAACCGGACTAAATTCGATGCTGATAATGACTATTGTTATTCTTTTAACACATAATGGGTAGGTAGGTAGGTAGGTAGGTAGGTAGGTAGGTAGGTAGGTAGGTAGGTAGGTAGGTAGGTGGGTGGGTGGGTGGGGGGGTGGGTAGGTAGGTAGGTAGGTAGGTAGGTAGGTAGGTCGGTAGGTAGGTCGGTAGGTAGGTAGGTAGGTAGGTAGGTAGGGAGGGTCGGTAGATAGGTAGGTAGGTCGGGAGGGTCGGTAGGTAGGTAGGTAGGTAGGTAGGTAGGTAGGTAGGTAGGTAGGTAGGTTAGGTAGGTTAGGTAGGTTAGGTAGGGTAAGGTAAGGTAAGGTA